CATGTTATTACATCTTTATTCTCATATTATTACATCTTTATTCTCATATTATTACATCTTTATTCTCATATTATTACATCTTTATTCTCATATTATTACATCTTTATTCTCATTTTATTACATCTTTATTCTCATATTATTACAGCTTGATTCTTGTATTATCACGACTATTCTCATATTATTAGATCTTTAGTCTAGTAATATAACGACATGATTCACGTATCATTACACCTTTATTCTCGTATTATTGCAACTTTATTCTCCTATTATTATGGTTTTATTCTCGCAGTATTACTACTTGATTCTTGTATTATCAATTTATTCTAATACGACTATTCTCTTTTCAACATTACTCTTAAATTGTGGCTATTTTCATATATTTAATTAATTCTCATTTTACTTTATTAATGTATTTTTTACTTTATTCTTTACTTTATATGATTTTATTTTCATAATTAAAAACCTGAGTCTGGCTCTAATACTCTGTCATACAGAACAGTTTACATAAAGTCTTAGTTTCAAACTTCAACATGAAAGTTGGATGAAAGCTGCATTAATTGTTTTTACTTCTGTTTCTTTGAATAAATGTAAATGCAGATCTAACCGTCCACACTGTAACATTTGTCTGTACGTCCACGTTTTCCCTCACGCTCATTAAAAACGGAYGTGTGTAGACATCCGTCCCAGTCAGACACCCACACACTCACCTGTAACGCCTCCAGGAAGCGGAACGAGCCCAGCCGACGGCCCCGTGGCACCAGGCAGAAACTGGAGTTGTGGAGCAGCTCCTGGTAGTCGAACCTGCAAGAAAACACGGGAAWGATTCTGTGAGAAAATATGCAACCAACTGCGAACGCAAACAAAACCAAGACACTAAAGAGAACAGATTTTTTGTTTTAAAGTGACAGAAACAGACAATTAAAAAAGACAGGTTTCAAACTCCTGAGTGATCTTTTTTTCATGCACCTCATCTACAGTATTTCCACCATCARACCCATTCATGCAATGAAGCATTTATCTGACAACAATCACAGCTGAGAACATCCTTCATTTATACACTGAAAAAAGGATTTCTGGGTGTAGTAACATTTATTTAATTGTTCTTTTAAATTTTACAAAAAAATATCAAAACCTCTAAACTGCTAGAATTTACTGAATAAACAATACGCATTATATAATGTATCTACTGTATAAAAAAAGTAAATGCTATACCAGTAATATTTAAGTGATTTTTCTTCACTTTTTTAGTCTGTTGTGTTACTGTAATTTGTGTGTTCATTATTTGTTAACTTGTGTTAAATCGTTCAGCAGCAGTAACCATAAG